TTAAATGAAAGACCTAGCCATTCCACATCTGCACTGCGAGGTCTCACCTAGTGATCCTGTGGAACCAAGACTGAGCGTTTCAAACAGCCCCGACCACACAGGTCATTAAAACCATCCCATCTGACGCTTCTCCCAGACGGCTGGGAGATGAAGACACGTAATCAGCTGGCTCATGTCCTGACTAGACATATACACGCAGCATCACACTCTGGCCTCGTTTAGCTGAAAAGGACAAGTGATTAATTAACAGAGACCGCCACCACCACCCCCCCCAGGGGCGAAGCGGAGATCCAAATTCCAGCCCTAAGCCCTTAGGAGGATTACTGCTTAACCATTACCTCAATCACGTAAACACTCAGAGTTTAATAAACCGACGTGATTCAGAGCGGCTGCAGCAGCAGCCTGTCAGGACAAGACTCACCAGCAAACCAGTTAGCATTATCGCAGTTTCCTGGTCAGCGCGCAGACTGCAGCAGAGCACAGATGTCACGGCCATTAGGCACCGCGATGTGTTCGAGTTTGAAATGGGGGTTTGTGGCAGAAGGGCGCCAAAGAGAAGTGGCCACACTGGTGTCCATCTGACATCACTACTGACTTTTGTTGGTAGTGTTGGGGAGGTGTGCGGATCATTGGGTGAGGATGCCGTGCCTGTTTTCGGAATGTCGCTGGTTCAAATCCCAGGATGGACAAACCGATGCCACCGTTGGACTCCTGAGCAAGGCCCCTAAGTCCTACTGCTTCAGGGGCTGTTTGATCCTGCTGTCTCATAAATGAAGGTCACATTGGATAAAAGTATCGGCCAAACAAAACGCAGCATTTTCGTCATAATGAACCATGAATCCTTCCAGCCCCGAGTGTTACCAGCCCCGAACTCCCCACGTTTTCTCCCCTGCAGAGCTCCACGGACAGCAGAAACCCATCCTCCCAGACCTCTACTTCGTGCTTCTGCACCGGCGCATCCCACAGAGCCCCAAACAGGGCGGCCAGGGACGTGGGAAATCCAATTTGCTTAGACCAGGGGTGGCCAATCTTATCCGCAAAGGGCCGGTGTGTATGCGGGTTTTCGCTGCAACTCCTTAATTAGATTACTAATTAGAGGACTGATTGGCTGAAGAGTCCTCACACCTGGGTTTGAACAGCTGACCTACAGGTTATCCCAAAAACCTGCATACAAACCGGCCCTTTGCGGATAAGACTGGCCACCCCTGGCTTAGACCCACCTGTTAGACCCACCTTCAGCACAGTGACCAAGGCAGAGGCGCCCGGAAAGGAGGGGTGGCCCTCGGTTCAATGCGGACTTCAAAAGGCATGTGGCGTGTGTGTGTGTGGGGGGGGGGGAGGTGTCTGTCTGTGGAAGATTTCCCAGAAGGCCTTCTCCTGCTTGGGCCCCCACTTCAAAGCACCATGGGACCCACCACGGAGACGTCCTCTGTGCAGGAGGAAGCTTGGCTTTACGGTGAAGGATTCTATCAAAAGGGCCTCGGTCTAATCCCGCCTCTTTAAAGGTTACATTCCAAGACTTCTGCGCTCCCTCCTTTTTTATTGGTGCCTCCACTTTGATGTCTGCCAAGACGTAGCAGCCGGGGCTCCGAGAGGAGCCGATAAAAGCAAGGGGAGAGAAAATTTTATAAAATGAAGCAAGCGCCTTATGATCTTCGTTTCATCTCAATCAGTCAGCGACGAAAGTGAGTCAAGTCCACGGCCACGTGCTGGAACATCAGGCTCGTTTTGGCCGTTCGCAGTAAATGAGAACACAAGGACGAGCAGAGAGCTGTCAAGGTGAAGCCAGGCCAGCTTCCACCTCATATAAAGAGCTACCTCACACACACGCATGAAACATCATTCTTACACCTATTCATACTTGGTTGACCCATTCTTGGGACGGGAAATGGCCTCGTCCCTGCATACATGTGTTTACACTACTGGGCCACACGAAGTAAGAGTTTGATGTTGGCTGATTCTGTTTATTTTATTCAAAGCAAAGTACAATTGCTAAGGCAGGGTCCCTGGAGAAGCTGGGCCTTGCTCAAGGGCCCAGCAGTGAAATCACTCTGTCAACTGTGGGATATCCTATCACAGATACAGAATCCTCACCGGCTGATCCACAAACCACCCCCAACAGACCTCACTCACTGTACGTTGTAGAAAATCACATCTGATCTGAATCATTAGCTATATCTGTGGTGGAGATACAGGATGAAACATGGGCTCGTATTAGTGTAATTACGGGCACTTGAAAATTAATGCCCATACGTCTGGTGAAATATGGTGCCCGTGTTAAAATGTTAAATTGCTCTTTGCGGTGATAAAGAACAGAGGAAGAAAAAGTTAGATTTTCTTAGTCAAGAGGAACAAAGGTCACATCTGGAAATGGATGAAGATGAAGTTACACCACAAAAGACAAAGTAAGAGTCTTAATTTTCAAATAAAGAACCAAAAGGTATGTAAAGTAAAAAAACACACCTCACATTATAATAAAGGACCTTGCCTCAAGGTCTTTTATTATAGAGTGAATAGCATAGCTAAGGCATAGACAAATGTATTAAAAGCAGGTTTGTCCAGACGTTGGACCAGTACTGTATAATGTAATTCCATGTGAAGTCGCTTATTGGTATGTCCTGGTGCCACTTCATTAGGGCTTAAAAATGACCTTCTGGTCACAGTAACATATGCAGGCCTGTTGAAAAGGAAAGGTCACCCTTCACATTAAAAATGTCACTGGTGTTCTCCCAAAGACAAAAATCTGCTGGCCAATGCCAATTCTCTCACCAGTAAAGGTTGTCCAGCTTTCAGGGACCAGCGACATCCAGGGACAGGCCCAAATCAGGATCCCGAAATACATTTCCCAATTACGGTCAGCGATAAGCAATGGCTCGTGGCCTCAGTGACAAGCAGGAAATACGTACAGACTGGGGGGGTGCAGTAATATTTTGGCCTGCGAGGCCCACAGACCCCAAACACAGGAAAGCAGTCTGCACCTAAATGTCTACAGCGATGGAACCTCAAAATAGAAGTAGTAACAAGCCTTCTGAAGGCGTGTCCTCCAGTGACTATTCGCCATGACTATCCACACGTCCCCACCACGTCACACGTCATGAGCTGCATGGTCACTGCATGGTCACTGCATGGTCACTGCATGGTCACTGCATGGTCACTGCATGGTCACTGCATGGTCACTGCATGAGCACAGACTTCAGCATGCAAATAATACCTCGGTCATACATCAGCACTACTCAGAGGTCATGACATATCAACCCACTATGACCATCTACTCAAGAACGGATAAGGAGACACAGGAAGATAATCATGCACTGAAGGGATTTACCAGCCGAAACCTACAGCGTTACCAAGAAATTTATCACTAGTGGGACATACTAAATATCCAACTGACACAGAAGAAGGTGACACATTGCTCTATATATTCCCTAAGTGAGGAATGACTCACTCTAATGATCTGTGGTACTTCAGAACTTTGTAATTAAAGGAGATAAATGGGAAAACAGTGTTAAAGAAGCTGTTCAACCACTTTGGGACCTAAAGGCATTCGACACTTCTATCCTATCGCAAGCAAGCTGACATGTACGGCCACTGTCAGAGATCTGGAGTACATAATCGCAGGAAGTACCAAATCCACAAACACTCATCAGGAAAATCCAGTTCTCCACAAAGTGTTAGGTGGCAGTCTTGTGCAAGACACACCCCCTCCCCCCTCTGAGGGCTTCCAAACTCACTGACAATCCACAACAGACACTCTGGCTGGAAGTAGGACTCAGAGGCACATCTGGTGCAGTAAAACAGAGACTGGCTTCCGAGGAAAGCGGAGGTGGGTCCTGTTCTCATATCGCACATCACAATCTGGAACAGTGCGTTTAAGCCTGCCCGTCTCATGCCATCCGAAATTCTTCCTCAGGTCAGAGGTTTCTAAGGGAAACGGGCATTTCTCCATCCGGATAAAAGGGGACACTGCAGCGGAATGTCAGGGATCGTGGAGAATCTGTGCAGGGATGCTCAGAAGCCACACAGGAAGGCAGTAATTAGCTTTTCACTGCCCCAGACAGCCGCCCCCCCGACACCTTCTTACTGGGCCTGCCTATGATTCCCAGCTTTCTTGTAGGTTGTTCCACATTCCACCGATCCACCTGAAAGCACAGCAGGGTCTCTCTGCCACTTCAGCTCTCTAATCCTCTTCCTTTTTTGGAAAAGAGGGGATACAGAACAACGAGTGTGTTTACCAATACACCAAACCCCCCCCCCCCCCCCCGAAAAAAAAAAAAGAATTACGGCCATTACTGCAGTTAGAATCCCACTGAAACCGCAGAATATGATTGCGCATTTCTGTAAGGACCTTTCACCGAATGCGACCCAAGCGCACTGGCACGCGCCCATTTTCCGAGCGCTTAGCTTCTGGCACGGCGGACCAGCTAATGACAGGATGCTGAGGGACTGGTCCGGCTCCAAGCGAAACTGGCCAGAGGGCAGCAGTTTGAGGCTGCCTGACGCAGCTCCCTGACCCTGGGGAGGAGCGTACCCCTGGGAGCACAGCACGTGCTCCACATACATGCCTTGGCACAGTTATTACTTAAACATGGGTTACCTAAACTGCCACACAATCAGACTATTAGTGGCTTAACTGGGAGATCCAGATCACTAAGCTGGGGGGGGATTTTAATCACAGAGATGCAACTGCCAGGAATATCTTCTTTCTTCATTGACATTGTGCAAGTCATGTTAATCCACTATTGGATGGAACAAGATGAAAACACGTTTTCCATATTTGCAACACTGCATATTTCACAATGTATGTCAAAATGCACGCAGGGATAAACCTTTGCCTCTCACATTAATAAACACATGATCCCATAAAAATGCTTATTTGTGCTTGTGTATTTTTCATTTGGAGTTAAGCTCTGACAAACCGAGGTACTAAACAGATTAATCTGCTCCTGTAACAACATCAGGAGGAAATAGTGCCGCAGAAGTGTCGGGAAAGCCGGGCTCACCTCGTTGGATGGGATGCTGACCACCCCGGTGGACCTGCGCTTCTCCCGCAGCTTTCGCTTCTCGATCTGCCCTTTGCCCTTCCGGGCGCTCGGCCCCGAGCTCCTCTTTTCCTTGCCCTTACCGGAGGAGCCACTTCCCGGTGACGGGCTGTCTTGGTCGGTCTCCTTGCAAACGCCGCCGCCGCCGTCTGCCAGCGGGGTACCGGGCAACTTCTCGGCCTGGGGTGTCTTTTTCAGACCCCCGCCCTGGAGATCGACAGTCCTGGTGGTCGGTAGCTGATGGGGCTCGTCGTCCGGCCTCCTGAGCGCAGACGCCGATGATGATCGGAGGACGGCATGGGACGGGGCGTAAAGGACGGACGCGGAGCCGCCACGCTCCAGGTTCCCGCCGCCGTTGGCCTCGGAGCCCGCGGGCGCGATGCGCGCCTCGTTTTTGACGGGGCCCCCCAGGGATGCGCCAGTGGAGGCGGCGATGTCCCCCAGCATCTTCGCCCTCAGCTTCTCCCGCTTCGCTTTCCATTCCTCCAGAAAATCCGTGGCTGAGTTAGATTTAAATCCGCCGCTTGCCATGTTACGCCAAGATGTTTATTTGTTTATAGTGACAATCTAAGCAGTTTAAACTGTTCACTTTGCTTAATTTTACTGTGATATCTTAAAACAAAAAAATCGATCTCTTATTCGTAACTCCTAAACCAATTTACAATATTGCGCACACTTGTGCAACTACACCCCAGATGATTTAAAAGGTAAATAGTACAAACGCCACAATAACGGCTGAGTTTAGCTGGATTATTCAATTACCCCCTTTTCTATGAGATCGATAAACTTTTTATGCAGTAAAACTCGGGTGAACACAAGCAAAGCTGCACTTGGAGAGTCTGCAAGGCTTTAATCGGCGCAAGTCCGTGCAGGTCCCCACACCGCACCAACTCTTCCGAATAAGAAGGGAAATGTTGGGCAAGTTGCACAAAGTCGGTATCCGGCCCTTGAAGGAGCAGAAAGCACAGCGGTAAGAAGCCCGAACGGTTTTACCTGGAGATCAGAAGCTCACGCTGATTTCTCAGGTGAGCAGCGTTTTACGGAGCGAAACGGAGCCCAGTGCCGAGCCCGATTAGTCACGGCGAGCCGCGAAAGAGCCGAGCAGGAGCCCCGCCCCCTCCCCTCCACCCAGCGGGAAGAGCCGAACCTACACGAAAGGAGCCGAACAGTCACGCTAGCAGACTCTCCTTTCGGGCTTATTCGTCCTGTCGGCATCAAACCTGAGTCACTTGATCATCCCACTTCTGCAGAATCGTTTCGCAATCCCGATTATTGTAAATGTGCGCTTTGTTTTCTCGGTTTCTATTATAATTTATGACTATATCACACACAAGACAATGTCAAATAACATTTATTTAACTGAATTATGAAGTACAAGACTGTAATTTACTGATTAGTGCGACCTAATGGACTGAATTGAAACGGTTTGCTTTTTATATTTCCATTTATATTGCACGGAATTGAATGAAATCACCATTTGAATTCTATGTTGTTTTTACTAACCGTGGTAGAGCTCTGTACGTATCCGTGTGAGAAATGCCCACTATTAATGACGCAGATCTTTTTAGAAGGGATTTCCAAGTCTCAGAACTGCGCGTTTATAAGGTGAATGAGTTTTAGGATAGCTAAAACTATAGGCTAGGCTAGTTATACGGTAACCTAAAAGTCAGCTTTCAGACTGGGCAAACAAGAAAGTGTTACGAAACAACAAAATCAGACTACTTATGAAAAAATGAAACGATGAAAACAGTACCATCATCAACGAATGCTTTTCAAATAGCAATTTTGGGCAACTTTTAGGAAGGTCTTGATATTAAAATAGAACAGAATGGAATTAAACGGTTTAGGTTTAAATATTTTGCACTGCATATATATACATTGACGGACTTCCTGCTTCTGAAAATGCATTGTGATATATTTAAACCTATATATGTATCACTAATATATGTACAACCGATTCATTTAAGACTTGCATAAACATATATCATATCTTGTTTTCTCGTTCGTACAGATATTGAAACAGGACATAAAAAATGCAGTTCTGCTGCACAGTGCAGGAGAAACTAGCCCTCTTGCTTAACACACCATAAAAATCCTGTCTTGTTCCAGCCTGTTCATTTTGGAGCAATGATTCCCTGCTTGAAGTTAATGAGATGTACCTTGAGCCTGTAATTAACTCCTCACAGGGAAAAAAATGCTATTCCCCTGTAATATTTCCCTCTGACAGGCCCATGATCTGCAATCTGGAGCTGAGACGTCTTTCCGGACCCAGTTCCTCAGAAGCCCAGTGATGTAACCACACTGAATCTGTTATTTCAAATCTTATTTCACGCCGGGAAAGAGGCACGATAATGTTCTGGTGTAACTGCACATATGAAATGTTACTGGAAATGCGAAGGAATTTATTTTCACTCTCTGTTCACCATATTACCTCAGCAAAGCTATAACTTATATAGCTGCGGCCATCAGTGTAATGGAAATGCTGGTCTGCAAGGTGTTCTTTGCATGATGGGCTTTCGTTGTTCGTGGGGTATTGTAGTTCACGGTCTTCTTTACAGGTGCATTAGTGGGAAACTGGCATCACAATCAGACCTTCTTTAAGCAAGATCCCCAAATTTAAATATATATATTTTTCAATAATTGTTTTTTTTTTAATGAATGAGAAAAGACCAGGGACTGTGCTAGAGAAATGAAATGAAATCTTGCCAAAAACACGGGTCACATACTTTGCATTTTTGTCAGCCTCCGTGCGGAAAACTATATTTCCTGTTATACACTTGGCTGTGCGTAATACTGCTTATTATTCTTAATGGTTGAGCTTGGAAACTCATTCATCTGAGGTGCGACCTTAGAAATGCACTGTGATTCAGTGGATGATGTGCTCAAAAATGATCTTTAAATAACGTTCGCACCATAAAATATGTGATCCAACAACTTGTGTGATTATTGTCATCATCATCACAGTCATCACCTGGCCAGAAGTATTTTCAAACTCCCAAAATGCATTGCAGCCCACTTACATGTCTGTCACTGCTGTAATCTCTTCCAAGTGCCTTCTGCATCTGAGCCCCTCCATTAATTGTTAATTTAGCTACACTGGGCACACTGCCGGTAGAGGCAGGAGGCCAGCTTTTGTTACAGTTTGCAGAAAGGGAATGTTGTGGCAATAGGAAGAAGCCAATTTTCCAGTGTGAAGATGATGGACAAGTAAGCAGACCGTAGATGGTCCAGACAGCTCACCAGACTGCACTGTGACCTCACACCTCCAGACCTGTAGATTTGATCTCTGCCCTTGGTTGTGTGTGTGCAGAGTATGAAAGTTCTCCCTGCATTTGCATGGCTTTTCTCCCACAGCCCAAAGGCATGCAGTCTAGATGGACCGGCCTTTCCAAATGATGCTGTGCCCTGTGATGGATCCCATCCAAGGTGCTTCCTACGACAGACAATGCTTGCTGCGAATCTGCATTAAGTCAGCAGTCTGGAAAATAGATGGTTAGACATACCTGCTTGCTTCTCAACATGCGATTAAGGCACCCTGACAATCCCTCACAGATTAACTTTAGTCACATGACACAGTCTTTTTGTGTGTGTGTGTTCACATACCTCTTGTACATAAAGAGGGGGCAGACATTGTAAAAGCTTCGCTGGGCATATTCTAATCTGCCCCCCACCCCACACCTGCCCAGCTACTCGTGTGAAGAACCAGACTGGAATGTGTGGCTGAATCAGCTGACAGCTGGATAAGGAAAGGAAGGAGAGAGAATGGGCCAGTCGAAACTGCCGGGGGGGCTAGCAGGCGGCGGGGCTAGCAGGCGGCGGGGCTAGCAGGCGGAGGGGCTAGCAGGCGGTCGGGGCTAGCAGGCGGCGGGGCTAGCAGGCGGAGGGGCTAGCAGGCGGCGGGGCTAGCAGGCGGAGGGGCTAGCAGGCGGAGGGGCTAGCAGGCGGCGTTATTGTCTTTCTGCTGGCGTCAGCGTGGCCCTCACTGCTTCCAGTAGGAGTCTCTCCAAAGCACCTAATTGTCCCGTTTGTGCACAGGGAAGCCAGAGCAGTTCGATGGGAGACGTCACGCTGTGCGGCTTTAAGGTCGACTTCCTTGGTATTTGCCGGAATCTAGAAAGAGAATTGGCACCAGGGCGCAAAATGTAGAGAATAAAAACACACCCCTTGAACCTGAAATCCTGGAAGGGGTTTGATCGCATAAGCCGTCTTTCTCACCCTGATCACATTAAAACGCCACTCCCCGATTTTATCAATATACGTACAAATATATTGCTATTAGACAATAAATAGCCTTTAGACGTCCACATATTTGTTATTCTTTTTTAATCCCAATTGAAATTCCACATGGTTGCTCTTTGAGACACAGGCACCGTTACTGTTATTTATCTTTCAAGAAGGAGTGCTATTTCCATCAACCAGACCTGATGAGCATGCCTGTGTTTCATGCCGGTTGCTATATAATTATCTCCTTACTCAGCGACTTCAGTGAAGTGGAATGATAAGGAATTGAAGATTGAGGCAGAGTAGTAGTGGCGGGCGGAGGGGGGGAAAGAATAAAACTGCGGTTGACAGGGACTAATCCTGACTCCCCGAGCGAGGGGCCGCAGCCCGAAGCAAAGCACCACGAGTCCAGTTGCGTCCACAGATCCCAATTGCAACGCAGAAGCTCATCAGGTTCTCACGAAATCAAAATTTATTCTCAGGTGAGACAGGCTGAGAATGAACCTGCATGCCAAGGCAATGCTCAGTCATTTTCGATCAACCATGTCGCCACAGAGGGGGAAAGGCTTTGAATCCTTTATTCAAAGTCGCGTGCATATGCAACATGAAGACGGTATGAGGTCAAAATTGTATGACCCTGTAGTTTTTAGCATTTAAGCATTCTAAATAAAAAAAAAAAAACAAAGAAGTTAAAAAACCATACAAATAAAGGAACATGTGATGTGTCATGTGACGCGCATGCCTGAAGATTTCCTGGTGTTCCCAAGCACCAATCTGGACACAGCTGCTTTTTTCCAGTAATACTAACTGCACCAGTGGGAGAACCAATCACATTGAAATAATTAAGACCTTGTTATTCAAAGGCATCCTGCATCCCTGATTAAGATAAGCAGCTAGAAGATGGATAGATGATTAAATGTTGTGGAGGAGGAGCTTCCTTACATGCTCTCCATGATTGCCTCTTTTAAACCAATTGGAAATTAGTAAAAAAAAAACTTCACTTACCTCCTTCTCCCATTAACACTAAAGCCACTGGACACTACTTTTTTATTTTTTTTAACCGTACGAGTCTTTGTTTCATTGTTGTTTTTAGGATTCCAACTTTCCATCACTTTCTGCCAAGTCTGGCATTGGCCACCACACACTGTAATTTTCAAGCAGACTTCTGGCTTGGAAAAAGTATTGGACCGGCAATAACATGCATCTAATTCTTGCTTTCCTCCAGATACTCCAGTTTCCCACCACAGTTCAAAAAACATGCAGAGATTAAATGGAGTTAACAAATTGCCTATAGGTATGCAAGTGGGCGATGGTGCGTTGGTCTGCCCAGCGATGGATTGGCACCCATCTGGACCCCCCCCCACAACCCTGAATAGGATAATCGGTTACAGAAAATGGGTGGATGGTTTGCGTTTCCATCATCACGAACCATAAGTCTATTAACATAAATAGCAGCAGTCATAAGCATATTTTGGATCTGATGCACTTAATTTCATAATAATTTGATCTTGATCTAATAAATTAAACTCAGCATGTTATAAAACAAATACTCCACTGACTTTGACATGATAATTAATCAATCCGTGGGCACAAAATCATGCAAATGACTTGTCATTGAACCGCAAACCATATAATCAAATACATTTGTTATGAAATTGCCTCAGCGAATTCTAACATGGATTCAGGGATTCGCATGCAAAGTAACAACCCTTTGACTTTTTCCATGGTTGTAAACCAGAACACCACCTCAAAAAATCTACAGAACTCATGAACCACCCCCCACCTAAAAAAAGAATCCGCTACTTCCTTCTTGACATGTCTAGGTAATTCAGAAGGCAGCTCCAGACTTTTGGTTTCGACTTGAGCATTGGCTCTGTGTTTGTTGTCTGTGTGAGTCCTTTTAAGGTCT